TTAAAATAATTAGTATAACAGTCTAAAAAAACTTATATCTTATTAATTTTAATGAACGCATCTGCAATTTGTGAGGTTTGTCTAATGTGGTATGGTAATAAATCAAAAGTAAGCAATGTCCATTTGCTGAACATATGGAAATAACAGTTTTGCCAACACCTCTATCAAATAGAGTTGTGGAAGCATCTATAACGGTCCTCATGATTATACAAAGAATTGAATTAAAGAATATTGGTGAAGATAATAACAAATTAAAGTTGGTTAACAAATATAGAGATATAATTGGAAAACATGTGTCGTGATTTTATATTAAATAAAAATATATAAAAAAAATAGATGAATTAAATCTTTTTTAATAAGATTAAATTAAATGATTGTTCCTAAATTGATAAGGGTACATCATTTTGAAAAGATTTAAAGATTATATTTACTTATTAAACGATTTAATTATAAATGTCTGCATTCTATATATTGAAACATGATAAATATACATATAATTATTTTGGAAAGTGTTTATGATTGACGATATAATTGGAATGATAATCTGCATAAATACGAATATAAGATTCATGGAAGAAATTAAAATTTGTAGAGTATGTGCTCGTGTTGACAATTATACCATTGGTCATAAGGAAATTACTTTTAAACTTAAAACAAATCGACAATAATAGATTTGGTCAACATAGTTTGTTATTTAAACTTAAAACAAATTGACAATAATAAATTTGGTCAATATAGTTTGTTAGGAACAATAAAAAAATTATTGTTATAAAATCTTGTTTGTGGAATAACAAACTCAGTGGCTTAAGCCAAAGATTAAGGAGATTACCTTTAAACTTAAAACAAATTGACAATAATAGACTTGGTCAATATAGTTTGTTATTTAAACTTAAAACAAATTAACAATAATAGACTTGGTCAACATAGTTTGTTACGAACAATAATAAAAAATTATTGTTATAAAATATTGTTTGTAGAATAACAAACTCAGTGGCTTGAGCTAAAGATTAAGACATGAAAAAGTAACTTTTAGGCCAAAGTCTAAGCGGTAAAGTCAAATATTGGGATCCTAATGTAGATTTGCAAAGTAGGATGATATAATGTGTGTTTACTTTTAAAAAATAGTTGAAATATAATTGTTATTAATGATAATATGGGACAACATTGAAAGTTAAATTATATTATGATCCATGTGCCAGAATATATTGAATACATGCTTATTTAGGAGATTGTAACATAAATGGTCCATATTATTTGTAAACATTGTTGCCTAATACATCGATATATTCCAGCATGTTGGTTTTATGCACATTGACAACGATTGTTGCTGTCATGATTGTTGTTTTAATGAAGGAAAAAGTGTAAACTGCACCTTCACCAAAAAAACAGTTTTCAGTTCAATAAAGACGAAAACCAAATAGCATTCGGCAAAGGAAGTTCGATGACAGAATGTGAATTAAGAAGAGTTAGAAGTATCAAATATTTTAACACGAAAGAAAGGAAAAAATAAAGCAGTTTGCATACATGATAAACATATTCAAAACACCATTTCATACATGATTCATAATATAACAACAAAAACAAACATTGCAGAGGATAATGAAACCTGTTATGGATGATGGATGATGGAAGTAGGCAGCAGCAAGTGTAAAGAGAGGTTGAAGAAACAATTTTTTTTCGTGATTGATAGCTTGAAGAAACAATTTTTTTTTCGTGATTTGTATGATACGTGATATTATATAAGGTTAATAAGGATATATAGAATGGTAAACAATGGTTTTATAAGATATCTATATCTATATATCATAACAAAATATGGGAAATGGTATAATTGGAAAACATGAGTCCTAATATTATATTAAGTTAAAATAGTTATAAAAAATATATGATTTACATCCATAATTAATAAGATATAATTAAATGACCGGATTTGAAATTGATAATGGTACATGAATTTGAAAAGATTTAAAGATAATATTTCCTTATTAAACGATTTAATCATAAATGTCTGGATTCTATTTATTGAAACATTATAAATATACATATAATTATTTGGGAAAGTGTATGATTGACGGTATAATTGAAATGATAATCTGCATAAATAAGAATATATGATTTATGAAAGAAATTAAAATTTGTAGAGTATGTGCTCGTGTTGGCAATTATACTCCTGGGCATAAGGAAATTACCTTTAAACTTAAAACAAATTGACAATAATAGACTTGGTCAACATAGTTTGTTATTTAAGTTCAAAACAAATTGACAATAATAGAATTGGTCAACATAGTTTGTTACGAACAATAAAAAAAATTTATTGTTAGAAAATATTGTTTGTGGAATAACAAACTCAGTGACTTAAGCCAAAGATTAAGGAGATTACCTTTAAACTTAAAACAAATTGACAATAATAGACTTGGTCAACATAGTTTGTTACGAACAATTAAAAAAATTATTGTTATAAAATCTTGTTTGTAGAATAACAAACTCAGTGGGCTTAAGCCAAAGATTAATGGATGACGAAGTAACTTTTTGGCCAAAGTCTAACCGGTAAAGTCAAATATTGAGATCTTATTGCAGATGTGCAAAGTATCATGCTGCAAAACATAACTAATCAATATGATTCCAAATTTTTTTTTCTTTTAATTAGGGTAAAGATCCTAAATGTTGACGAATTATAAGAAAGTTTGGTAGTAGAAATCAAAATTAGTACCTCCAAATCAGTAAGATTGCAATGATGGATGAATCTATAAGTATAATCATAGTATGTGTATGTGGTAACAATGTCATCGGCTGTGTTCTGACTACTGTTGTCTTCAAATTTGAAGAACACGTTAGTGTTTTTTTGACTTAATACATAACGTGCTTAATTAAGTCAGAAAGAATGAGTACCAAATATGCAACCAACAGACCACATGTCAACAACTGTTGAATAATGAGTAGCACCCAAAAGGACTTCTGGAGCTCTATACCAAAGGGTCAATATCGGAAATGATAAAAGTTATTTAGCAATATTCAAATTAACTTTTTTTTAAGAATTTTAACCATTTTGTCAATCGAAATGGTACTTTTTTAAGATTTTTCACCCAAGAGGACTGTCTTCCCATCTTTGTTTACACCTTGCTTCACATCCAACAGCTTGTTTGATTTCGTTAATCGCAGTCAAATCCAAAACGAATCAATACCATTTCAAATTGATTACTAAAAAAACCATAGATAGAAACATAAATCGGATACGCATAATATAAACCTAAAACCCAAATAAGAGTGATTCAAATCAAAATTCCCGTTAGAATAATCAAAATGGAAAACCAGTTGCAGATTCACAAAAATTCAAATACCTTGAGAAGAAGAAAAGTGCAATGGGAATAATCTTCGGCAGTGAATCTCAATTTCAAGTTGTTGGTGACAAACACGATGCAGGAGATGCATTGATGGAGAAGAACATGGATAGAAATTGGAGGGATCATCGACTCTTGAGGAGGAAGAACATTGATAGAAATTGGAGAGATCATCGGCTCTTAATATTATCTTCATCAGAGAGAGAGAAAGAGAAAGAGAGCAATCCCTATTTTAGAGGAAAAATGGTTATAGACGGTAAGAAATGCGTATTTGTAGTTCCATTT